AAAAAACAAAGTTTTCGATTTCAAAAAATTTCAACATTTGTATTTTTACACAATATAACCAAAATTAAAATGCAAAATTCCCAAATAACACCCAAATAACAATTTTTTAATTTCTATAAAAGCTTTAGAGTATAAAAAACAATGTATAGATTTAAAAAAAAAACGTTTTTCATCACAAAACTCTTCTTTTTGTCCAAAATCCAAAWTTAAAACAGATTTTTAACACTCCTATTATGAGCCTACGGAGAACTATGCTGTAGTTTGTAGTATAAATTTTAAAAAAGAAATAAAAAAAGTAAAATTTTGACCGTTTTTTAATAGCTTTTTTGAAAATTTTGTCAAAATCAAAAATTTTAAGAACTTCAAAATCAAACCGTTTTGAGAATTCTAAAATGCAAAAAATGCATGAAACATTCGTTAATCGACTTTGAACGAAAGTATTTTTAGTACTTTTTGCAATTTTCTACAATCTTAAAAAAATCCATTTCAAAAAATTTCAACATTTGTGTTTTGAAAACCAAAATTATGAGTAGAACACGATATYACCAATTAAAATGCACAATTTCGAGCATTTTTTTATTTGAAAAAAATGAAGTATATATTTTTTAAGAATTAAAAAAAAATAATGAATCCAAACAACAATTTTTGAATTTCTATAAAGGCTTTAAAATTTAAGACAAATTTGTATGTGAATTTAAAAAAAAACGTTTTTTATCTACTTTACAGTAGATAGTTCACCTTTTTGGTAAAATTTGAGCGTTTCATTAATTCTGAAAAAAAAAACACAAATTATGTTTACTTTTTAAATCGAACTCAAGGACATTTTAGAATTCCTGCAAGAGCTCCAAACACAGAAAAAAAGACCACTTTGATAAGAAATTTAGTTACAACAAAAACCAATCAATAATCACTTAAAATTCCAATATTRGGGATTGTTAACCGAATATTTGACATGTTTYTTTGAAAAYATTGAACCTCTCAYATTCCCCAAATAGACATCATGACCTTCCTGAACCAGCCTGAAAGCTATGTACGKMTTATTCTCAAGTAATGAAATTTCCTGAAAAAACCTAATGATCGGTTGGCTTTATCGGCCCAAGCGCCTGAATTTTCCGCAATTCCGTGTTGCACAAACACTGGTAATTTACCCCCACTCCCATTTTCAGCCGAAATTCTGAAAATATTCAAAATGTAGCCATCGTCAGTCGTCACTGTTAATTGCTCAAAACTGTAACCATGTCGTTGTGACATTGCTTGCTGAAATTTGTAATTAATTGTAATTAAATCGAATTAAATTACTTACAACGTCGGATAAAACATCAGGGTTGTAAGTGCAATGAGGACTGATTGCAGCATCYTGATACGAAATCACGTTTGTGCAAGCATTATTTTCGATATTAACTGAATTTGATGATAAGGGAAAAAACAAGTAGAGGATTACAAGGGTTAACATTTTACMACAACTACTGAAATTTTTAAAATAAAACGTTAGAAAAAATGTCATTTAGAGCACATGTGCAGCTAATAATGATTAAAACTCCAATTACAAGTTCCGGCGTTAAATTACAAACTTTGAATGGAAGCTGCAAGTTGCAATAAAACGCCGTATGCTAATTAAAGGTAACTTGTTTGGGCAAGTTACTCCGTATAACGTGTGTTATCATGTTGCGAGTCCGGTAATATTACGAGAGATGCATTTATAACGAGACAATGAAATACCTGAAAACATTTTTTCAGGCACTTTATTGTCGTGGGTGAAATATAATCACATTTTTAGCACACTGACACAATTTTTTTTATTTTTAAACCACACTAACTGGCATTGTCATTGTTGGAGTTATTATTTATAATATAGCGACGAATAGTAATTAAAAACGATAAAGAAAAAGTGAATAAAATACTAATTCTTAAAGTAGATAACAGTATGAGGCCGTAAAAGTGTGGCAAAATGTTAAAAAATGAATATTTCAGGCTGGTAATTGTTTAAATGCATTAGAATTTTTCAAATGTAATAATTCACTTTAACGCAAATTTTATAAGCCTGTGATAAGGAAAAAGAAAGGTCAAAGTAATAGTTTTAATGTTAATAAACACGTGTCACTCAAAAATTCTTTCTATACTGAGCGACATTAAACATGCAACTTTAGAACTTTCAATTACTTATATCAAAATTTAACCTATTTCTGATTTCACAAACTTTGATTTTGTATGTTATTTAAATTTTATTATACATATATTTGTTTTTAACTCACCTAGTATATTTTTAATAGTATACAACCTGTTTTAATAGTAAGTTACATAGCAAAAATGGTTATTAAGAAACCAGTAACTTTTTTATTCGATTAGTTGTTCAGTATATTATTATAACTGTCATTTTATTATTTCAAAATAAATAAACCGAACAATTTTTGGTTATATGTATATGTTTTGCAATATTCGTTCCAAAAAACAGGCTAACCTTCATGAGTTTAAAATACCAATTTTACAAACTATTTTTTATTTTTAGCCACTATTTTTGAGAACTAAATCGTATCAAATAATAACAAGTTTAAATATGTTTTTAAAATCCTTTTAAGAAAAAAAAATTGTTTGTAACAACTCGGCTTCGCCTTGTGCGAAAACAATTCGTCCGCAAAAACTGTATTTTAGGTACTTGCACCAAAAAAAACTATTTATATCTCCAATTTTTTCTATACTAAGCGACATGAAAAATGCGACTATTAGACTTTCTATCATAATTTGATGTTTTCCTAACCTAATAAGCGTTCCAAAAAAATTGTTTTTTTTTTAATTCAATAGTTTCGTATTTGCACAATTAGTTACGTTTTCAATGTGGTTCAGTATA